TGTGGAAACTGACTTGAATAAGGCCTTTAACGCTTTTCACGAATTGATATGCCGTTTTTATTATTTATGCTTTCCAAAAATAAAAATAAAAATAAACGGAAGTTGCACAAAAAAAATTGGATAAGTCAAGGGTTAAAAAAAGTTCTCTAACTAAACGGGTCTTGCGATACACATAGTACTAACTACTAACAAAAAAAATACACGTAATAAAGTTAACTACTTAAAATATTCAAACATTTTAAAGAAGTGTATTTATGAATCCAAACAAATTGATAATATTAAATATATGAATAATAGTAACAACAAATGCAAGGCAGCATGGAGAATTATTAGAAATGAAATTCATAACCCGAAAGTTAAGGATAATATAGATACTATTAAAATTGGAAAGAACATAATATCTAATCCTATAGAAATAGCTACTGCTTTCAATGATTATTTTATAGATATGGCCACTAATCATACCTCAACACAAAATTTAAATAAAAATATGGGTTAAGTAGAAATTCTAGAGTGAATTCGATGTATTTAAGACTAATGACAGAAAATGAAGTTAAAATAGAATTACTATCATTAAACAATACCAATTCAGAGGGTTATGACGAAATTAACACCAAATTTTTAAAATCATTCTGATAATTTAACTAAAATTCTGACACATCTAATAAATTTATCATTCTCGTCAGAAAAATTCCCAGAAGCACTAAAATTGTCAATTATAAAACTTTTATTCAAAAAAGGGCGAAAGGATGATGTTTAAAATTATCGTCCAATCACCTTAATACCTATTCTGGCTAAAATATTTGAAAAATGTTTGTTTAAAAGAATAGTTGATTACTGTAATAAATACCAGATAATTAAAAGTGAACAATATGGGTTTCAAAAACACAGATCAACCTCACTTGCCATGTTTTCGTTAGTAAGAATAATACTTAGTAACATAAACAACAGACAGTTAACAACAGGATTATTCTTTGACATCTCAAAGGCCTTTGATTGCGTTTCACATGACATATTATTGCAAAAATTAGAGACAATTGGGATCAGAGGATACTTCAGTGGTTATCGTTATTTAAAAGACAGACAACAATATGTTATCATTGATAAAATAGATAAAACAATAACTTAACATCCCATTCATCTGGATATAAATATAAGTACCCGGTTGACCGAGCTTTGCTCGGTATTTTTCGCTCGGTTTTTTTAATTCGTGTGTTTTGGAAATTATATTTAGATATAAATTACATACTGATGAAATACGAATAATATTTTTTGATCTTAGCTTATAATAGAAAAAACTGAACTGGTTATTTGAATAAAAAATCATGAGTGCAATTAGTTTAATTTAAATTTTCGTGTTTTTAAAAAATACTAAAAAAAGGGCTCGAAAAAATAGATTTTCTCAAAAAAGAAAGGAACTTGAAAAAAAAATTAAAAAAAGCCGATCGGTCGGTCTGGGTTGGAACCATGGTATTACGATTTTGTGACCGACCAATATACCAAATAAGACAATTGTAATCATCAATAAACTGTCAAAATTTACTTTCTTATTCTAACGATATTGTAGCAGTTTTTCATTGCCTAAAAACACGGACAAAAAAGACATTTTCTAAAAATAAATCCTAGCTAGATCGATTTATTGCCCCCGAAACTCCCTGCACACAAAATTTTATGAAAATCGTTGGAGCCGTTTCCGAGATTCCGAACATATATACAAGAATTGCTCGTTTAAAGGTATAGGATAAATTTGGCGTTCCGCAAGGTAGTATATTAGGACCGATTCTTTTCCTATTATATATTAATGATATTGTTGACATTACGAATCATAAATGTGTTTTATACGCTGATGACATTTCAATTATTGTGACTAGTAATAAAAATAATAATACAATTAGGAATCATGAAGATGACATTAATAATACAATTGACAAATTAATAGAATGGCTTGACTTAAATAATTTGAAAATTAATTTAGATAAATCTCATTACATACAATTTAATAAATCTATCAATTCAAATCATAATATTAAACTTAATATACCAAAACTAAAAAAAAGTATACAAAATTTCTGGGAGTAACGTTAGATGATGATATAAACTGGAAAGAACAAATAGATATCGTATGCCGTAGAATCAATAAATTTGTATATGCCACTTAAAATAACATTATAAACATTACAAATATTAAGAAGGCAATTGCAACGTACCACGCATACGTGGAGTCTATTCTTCGCTATGGAATTATAATATGGGGTAATAGTACTGACCGAAATATAATGGATAATTCGTTGCCCAAAAAAAATTTATTCGTGCAATGTGCGGGATGTCGCCAGATATTTCTTGTAAACCAATATTTAAGAGACTTGGTATATTACCCCTCCCGTCACTACACATTTATGAAGTTAGTAGGTTTGTCTTTAAAAATAAGTCATTGTTTATTAAAGCGCGTGATATATATCCCCGAAACCGACGTGACCCAGAAAAACTAGTTCTAGATATTATTCCTAGAATCGTTAAATACAACAAAAGTTGCCTAAATATGTGTATAAAAATATTTAATAAACTACCTAATGAATTTAAATTATTAAGTGAAAGATTATTTTAGAAACATTTGTTTAATTGGTTAAAAACCGAATGTTATTATGACGTAAAAGATTTTTTAGACTGTAATTAATTAATATTGTTGATTCTGTATTTGCATGCTATTTACCATTGTTAGCGAAACACGATTGCACTAGACAAATTGTAAGATCTTTTTATACCGTGATTCTTGCAAATAAAATTTTTAGATTTATGATTTAATAATCATCAGAATCGGTTCACCCAGAGAAAAGTTTTGAGGTAACTCACATAAAAAAAATATAAAGTCGAAAATAAACATAAACCTCCTCCTTTTGGAAGTCGGTAAAAAAACAGCGGTCGCCTACTCAGCAATATGGACATATTTATGAGGCAATCTGAATGACTGATGAATGAATCAATTCAATAAAAGACATAATTTCAGTTAATATTATATCCGGAAATATGAATGCTATTTTAATTTTTAATAGTTCACGACTCGACATGTGCCTGTCCAATTCAGTGTTGCCAACTTGACGGGATTCCCGTTAGATTTGACGGGACAGCGAGGTTGGCAACGGGAAAAAAATTGTGTTTAACGGGTAACGGATTTTTAACGGGACTACAAAAATTTATGCTTTTTAGATTTGTTTTCGAAATAAAAATAATTTGGAAATGGCAAAAATTAAATTATAATTTTATTCATTTTTTTAGTTTAAAAATACGATAAATGTGCAATACAATGAATGATTGACACTTGTCTACCGTACTTGTCGGGATTTGACGGGATTATAGTGTTCTCTACAACGGGAGCTAGATTTTAATGTTGGCAACACTGGTCCCACTATAGGATTGATATGCCATAATTATTAATTAGTGTCGTAGTTTCAACTCTTTTGATGCTACTTTTCGTTGCCACTCTGGGTATTATTACCTCTAGCCTATAGATAGTGTATAATAATTTTTCGGAAGCCATGACTTTTTTAACAGTTTTTTAATATATAACCTGAAAAATTAATTCTTCTAATTTCCTACAGCAATATGAGGGAAGTCATTTAAGAAAAAATAGAGTAAGTTTAAACCGTCGTATAAAATTAGGCGACCACTATAGTCGGTAAGCAGCTTTACGTAACACAAATGTGTCAACTTGAACTTATCGGTTACCAAATCGTTTATAGTTCAGTGGGACATATATGATACGTAACTATCGTAGAGAACTATATATAATAACTGATACAGCCAAGCTATCTGGACATATTATATATTATCTGTATGTAACCTAAAATTTAAGGCTGACCTACAAACATATTGTAAATTCAAATCTGATTCTGATTAAATCGCCATCACCGTTACAACAGACCATGATATACAACAGACCACAAAAGACGACAGCGAAAAGAAGAATGCTATAATTTAGAAAACAATAGGCGTATACAGATTTTAATTAACTAATTCGATAAATTAAGAAAAAAACATGCTAATATTCCATGAAACCATTACAATTCCTTTTAAAACGCTGTTAGGAATGGTATATTAAAATAGTAACATAGCGGATTGCAAATTTTCGCGACTTCTAAGTTCGTAGTTTGTACCCTTAACAATTACACAAGACTTACTTAAAAAAGAAATCACGTTTAATTTTAAACCAATATTCTGTACAACAGGTAATTTTACACAGAACACAGACCTACTCCATAAATTTCCTCATAGGAGGGATTTTACTATAAAAAACATTTCGTCCCGTGGATACAACTCGCGGCACGAAAGTCTAGCGGTGACCGTTATTGCGCATAATTGGTCGTATTGCGCATTATTGCCTATGATTGACTGTGCGTATCGCACGCACGAGCTGATTGACCCCCTCCACGTTTCGTTCAGCGCTAGAGTTAAATTCCGCGATTTATATCGTAAGAAGCGACTATGACAAATGCCAGAAAAATCTTATGATTACCGATAAATGGCGGTGTAACCATCTCGTTTATGCCAGACGAAATAATCCAGACTTTCTCTTTACTCTGATCGTCAATACACCAGCTAAACGTGGCAATTAAAGCAAATCCACACTGGGATTTTATGGGCCGATGAAGAATCGAGGACGTTGGCGTATAAGGACGGAAATAGCATCTTTTTCTCTAAAGGTCTACCTCTGCTGCGCGCGGTGAATGATGAATGGTCCCCTAACATTTAACGGTTGACGAAAAATCCTTTCGACAACGTTGAACCCAAATTTCGCAGACTGATGATTCCATAAATGGCATTCCCATGCGAGGGTATCGACTACATATCCCGCGCTTACCAATTATTAAAGTAAATTCTTTGAAAAAATTTGATAAGGCCTAGGGCCAACATTCGACGTAGAAAGACTGCAATTAATAAATACTTAAAAAATATTAAAAAATCTTGAGTATTAGCAAAATTTAAAGCACTTAGTTGTTATATACCAGAATCAATCTCCTTCCATTTCGGATGTGGTGAACATATCCTCTCACTTGTGTAGAACGGCGCTGACATGGTTGTGTGATGAAGCGTTAGGTAGTAACTGCACTGACGTGTACACCATTCGGGCGGTCGTATGTTGTAGCCGACAATCTGTAATAATGTAGAAAACTGATTAAACAAACAAATTAGTAAGTACTGAGCACAGACTTTCTCGCATTACTGAGAGGCTAATAAAGTGGGATGAATTACAAAGCTGCTCCAGTGAATGTTTTGGACTTTTGTTTTCTTTTTTGATTTTATTTTACGTGGTAAAGCTAGGCTGCAACTACATATATGATGTTTTTTTTCTTAAATTGAATAAGGCTGACAAACGAGCACACAGTCCACCTGATGATAAGTGGATAATGTGGCACATAGAGATCTACATTAATCCTCGATTAAGAATCAAAACGCAGATGCGTTGTCACTCCTGAGGACTAAGATGGAATGCCCTGTTTCTAGTAAAAAAGGGTCTCTGGATCTCTACACTCACCATATGAAACACAGCAGCATTACGCTGCTATTTTACGCTGGTATATTTATTCTGTGAGAGCGTGGTTCTGCCCCGGTTGAGCCGCCCCGTTCGTGCTATAACTATAATATAACTGTAGCATGGCTCTACCACGTAAAAAACCTCAGTGCTACACCTCGGTTTGCACCTCGAATGGGTCGCCTCGAATGTAGGTGTTTATGGGCCACAGCACCCACTTACCATCAAGCAGACCATGTGTTTCTCACCCTTATTCTATAAAAAATATTTCTAGAAAATGCAGATATTTTCTTTTACCAATTTTTTTGATAATTCATTTCTTTTTGTATGGATAATGGGCCCACCATGAATTGTAGCGTAACTTAATGAAATGCATGTCGATTTATTTCTTATAGTCTATAAATTACAATAACGGTATATCTTTTACTGCATCTAACGGGAATACCTACTGACAAATTAATAATTAAAATATGAATATCACAATAACCTAAAAACAAACTAAGAGCGCTTGTCTGGTTGATTTCACCGGCATTATAAGTTAAAATAGTCCACTGTTTAAGGCTACAGTCTTTTAAAGTTGACTCACATCGAATCATTAGCGCCACTTTGATTTCTTTTTTTACAGCAAATTATTGTTTCAGAGTAAAATATTTTGATAACACATAAATACCCAGATTATAAGTAATGGCTAAATTTTTTTTTTGGTTCATCTATGTGGTCTATGTTAGATAAATCAAACGGTAAATAGAGCTCTCTCGCACCCAACGCAATTTCGAGCTTTGTTCGTGTACCATTTTAAGGCAATCGATAATAAAAAGGCGAAATCTATTCAGCGCGTTAATAGCTAAACATCTTCATCTCCAAAATGCGCTGTTTCTTTTTTCTAAATATCTTTCACTGTCTTAAATAAGATGTCTCAATTTCGTTAAATTTCGCTGTTTTCGCCTCATAAAAAAACTATTTGTTTCATAGCAATAGCTGAAAATATTTATGCTATAATTATTTTTTTCTCAAGGGCAGGTGTTTAATTAGACAAATATTAAAAAATAATAATTTAAACCACTTTATTTCAAAATTAATAATTATTTCGATCGACCTATAAAATATTGACTTTATAAACAATAATTGCGGGCAATATTCCTTAGTAGCCGCTGAGCGGCTGTAGCGTTCAGACGTCTTGTCTGTGCCAAATTTTTGCACTTCCTCTCGCTCTAACATTCCTCTTTCTCTCTCTTTCCCTAATCTTGGCTGCGCATTATTACGAATTGAAAGTTGCTCTACTTTATTATTTTTTGCATATAATTCTTTAAGGGTTTATAAATCATTTTGTATTTGTTTTATAACTTTTAATTTCGATATGGACCATAAACGTAAAAAATATGCTTGTACCAGAAAACGAAAATTGAAATCAAACGTTGAAGCAATGAACAGAAATAGAATTCAAAGGTAAGTTTTTTTGTGTTTCATAGTAAAATAGTTAACAACGTGCATATGTGTGAGCACTTGGTTAAATATTAGGTATATAATTAGGTAGGTACTTTTAAGAATAGTTTATAAATGAGTTGCATATTTGTAATGCATATAGGTAAATGCTATACAAAGTTACATTATACTTTAATGAGAAACTATAAATATGTGTGATAGTGGACTGTTTGTACTTATATAGAAATTATTTTGAGTTTTTTTTTTAATCTATTTTAGTATTTAGAACTACTTGACGTACTTGACGGATTTTCGATAGTGTCATCGACTTATTACGAAACCCTCAGTGCACGACTCATTCTAGCACTTGCCAGATTCATTTGAATAATCAATAATACGAGTACATGTTATACAGGTTCTAGATGATTATCTTTTAGAAACCTTTTCAACAAAACAACAAAAATTATACAAACTTAAAATATTTTTTTTTGTGTAACGAATTTTGTAATAAAAGCATGGAACAAAAATAGATACGAGGTAGAAAATCTGTATGTGAAAATTTGTTAGCTAATTATCAATAATCCTGTATATTAGATAAATTGATACTGGAAAATCTTAGTAGAGCAACTTTCCACGCTACGGCCAGAAAGATAACTGCGGTGGCGGTACATGAAGTGGCGGGGCAGGGAGGGTGTAGATGTGTCACCAGAACGCAATTTTTCTGTTTTGCTCTGAAAGACTGGGCTCTTAATATTTAATAGTATAAAACAAAGTTGTAGGTAATTCAGTATTTATAGGTACTTTAAATTTATGGCAAATCCTTTTAGTAGTTCCGAACAAACATAGTGTACAGACAAACCAATGTGGTGTGGAAACAATTTTAATATGTTTTTGATTGATTAGTGAGTATTAAACCCAGACACCATTACAGTAATTAAAGAAATATGATTAAAGTCAAGATAACTAAGGAATAATATATCCATTGATTGATGATGAGGATGATGAGTAAATAAATACAAAAAAGCAGCAATGTGACGACAATCAATGCTGTATAATAACCGAAAGTCAATGACAAAATAAGGTTATTAATACGTTTCGTTCCACGGTCACTTTGAACGATATTATATGATATTAGCTTTTAGAAATAGGATTAAAACAACTAAATACAGTTTTAAGGACATTTGATTTTAATAATTGCATCGAAACTTTAAACAAACGAGAAACATCGAAACACAATGAATGCAAAAATAAACAAATAGGAAAATACCAAGAATTAACTCTCAAATCAAATGCCTACCATCTAAGTCAACGTCAGAACGAAACACAACCGTTGACCACAGATGCAAACAATAAACAACGCACGGTCTATAATCTGTCAAAACATACACTGGACGAACCGACCATAAAGGTATTAGCGAAGGGAATGAACTTCAAGCGAAAAGCGAAAAATCCCGTACGAAGAAATTATCTGCAGTGTTGAGGATTGTCTGTTTAAGAATAACATCGGTAAGGAAGATTTGGAGGCTATACGTCAAGATATTTCGTCCTTGTTACAAAGTTTACACAGTGCAGTACCAAAACCAAACCTTGCTAAAGACGAATTTACAGCGTTGATTAACTTACGGAACAGACCAGAGCTAACGATTCTCCGCGCGGATAAAGGAAATGCTACGGTAATAATGGACACTTCAGAGTATAATTTTAAAATACTACAGCTTTTATCGGACGAAAGTACATACAAAAAGGTCAAAACAGACCCCACAACTAACACGCTTAAAGCAACTGGCGATTTAATAAAGAAATACTCCGAAAAATTAAATCTCCACGTGAATTCGCTAATACCATCATGTACAAAACCACCGAGGTTGTATGGGTTACCGAAGATACACAAACCAAACGCTCCACTACGTCCTATAGTGAGCCAGATTGATTCTACAACTTATAAGCTGGCACAACACTTGGCAAAAATACTGTCACCATTGAGAGGACATACCAAAGCACACACAAAGGATTCATACCATTTTGTTAGTGAGATAAAAGACCTACATCTCGCTGACAATGAAACTATGGTCAGTTTTGATGTTCAGTCACTATTCACATGCCTACCTATTGAAGACTGCATCTCAATTGTGACTAGGAAGCTAGAAGATAATAACATGCCTGCTGAATATGCAGTATTACTCAAACAGTGCCTCACATCTGGCTATCTATTGTGGAAGGAAGAGTTCTACAAGCAAGTAGATGGTGTGGCGAGGGGCTCACCTGTATCTCCCATAGTCGCCGACATATTCATGGAGGACTTCGAGGAGAAAGCCCTTCCTACTGCTCCTGTAAATCCAAGATTCTACAAGCGGTATGTAGACGACACTTTAACAATTTTACCATCTGACAAAGTAAATTTAAAATAAGCATTTTTAGACCACCTTAACTCTATAAACTCTAAAATACAATTCACAATGGAGTTAGAGGCAAATAATTCTTTAGCTTTCCTAGATGTTTTAGTCATTCGAAATCCTAATAACACTATTGGTCACACAGTGTATAGGAAAAAGACCCATACCAACCGATATTTAAATGGTGAATCTCACCATCAACCTTCGCAGTTAGCTACCGTGGGTAAATCTTTGTTTCAGAGAGCACGAGGGATCTGTGACAGAAAACATCTGGCCACCGAGCTTCAGCACGTCAAGCAAGTATTGCAAGACAACAAGCTTCGGGTCCCGCGCCTACGTCACAGTCACCGAGTGAAGCCGGCCACAGTAGAGCATGTACCTGCTGTACTACCATATGTCAGAGGATTCACAGACCTACATCTTGAAGTGAGCTTCCATTAAAACATACTACAAGCCACTGAAGAAGATTAGTCAATTTTTACCATACATCAAGTGTAATATTCCTCTACAAGATGCAGGAGTGTACAAGTTAGATTGTGAATGTGGTCTCTCTTATATAGGTCAAACAAAAAGATCAATAAAATCCCATGTGAAAAAACATATAGCTGATGTGAAGTACCGATGCTCCGGGAAGTCTGCAGTGTGTGAACATGTTTAAGATCGTCCCCACCATTACATCAGATTTGATAAACCACAAGTCCTCGCAAAAGAACACCGACCACCAAGAAAAACAAACATCCTAATTTCAATAGAGAAGATGGATGGGTGCTGCCATCTGCTTGGGATCCTATAACTAACAAAATTAAACCCAAACCCAAGGAAGCTGCAAGCAAGACTTTAAGATACTGTAAGCTCGTTTTGCGTAAATCGGACCAAAAAATTAATATTAAAAAACTGAAGGTAGCCAGACTAACTATGACATTGGGACGTCAAACATCTCAGTCCCCCCCGTGACCATGGGTGCTGTAAAGCACCCGAAACGTCGGGAATTAAAAATAAGTAAAATCAGTTAAATAAACGCGATAAAATCCATAAATTTAGTCTTATTCAATTAAAAGCAAGTTTTTAGTGGTATCTCTTTTTAGTAATAAATATATTATATATATACAACTACATAATATAAGTATATAATTACGTTTTCATTTTCAAAAATATTTATCTTCTTTTTATTATACAAACTGCAAAATGATTCCTTACACGCAGTGGCGAAGCTAGGGCTCCAAACTAGGGCAAGCCCAAGATATGGTTTTGTTGTTTTTAGCAGTTTTATAAAAATACACCAATATTGATTACTTTTTTTTTACTTTTTTTTACTATATAATTATTCATTTTCAATTTTAATAAACCGTTAAAAAAGATATTTTTAACTCTTAAGGTAATATAAATATTAAATTAGCCGATAGCGTGTTTGTGCCATCTAGCGTAATCTTTACGTACCACCGTGAGAATCAATCAATTTTCGTTCGATAAAATGACTTCACCTATAGAATTAAGTAGATGGCGCTATTAAAATTTTATATACTGAAATGAGAAGATAAAGCTTTAAGGACTAAAGTAAACATTCTTTAAAAAACTCACTCATGGGAAGTCCCCCTACCCTTCCCCCGTTGCGGAAATGTATAGTTTATGAGTAATAATTTTTTTTGCAAAATCATAACCTCATTTTTTTATACAGGAATATTGACGCAAAGTTACTTCTGCAACGGCTTCGGCACTGCGGGAAGTGCAGGCCCTTCGCCCCTGCGTTGCAAATCGCAGGCACCCATGCTCGCCTCTGCAGCTTAGGCTTAATGGTCGCCTTCGGCGACCAGCCTCAGCTGCTAGGGCTCACTTAGGTGCCTGCGATTTGCTACAGCGGGCCGGGGCTGCTCTCCTTCCGTGCCTACGGCTTTACAAAAACACTCTAGGGGTAGCAAAAGAAGGCTGTGCCCAGCAGTTGAATGTATATAGGCTGTGACTTTACTTTTTTGGTGTACACAAACTGATATTGAAATTCAATTTTCTATATCACAATCAGTTAAAATTTTATCATATACAAACAGCACACCCAGCAGACATAAATGGAACTTTGTTTTGTCATACAAAGTTACTCAATTGCATTAGGAATTTGATACAATAGATAACTCATGTTTAGAGTACAGTACTAAATTTAACTATTAAATTTTGTTTTGCTTTGAAATCTCAACTTTCTCTGTTTGAAAACTTCAGTACCATCAGCATAAGTAACAGTAGTAAAAAGTTACAGGCTATATACGTCCCACTGCTGGGGACAGGCCTCCCCTCATTTCTGAGAGGGTTTTAGGGTAAGGAAGTGTCCGCTGCGCTGCCCCAATGCGTGTTAGCGAACTTCACATGTGTTTGAAATATTTTTTTTCTTATTCCTCAGACATGCAGGTTACCTCACAATGTTTTCCTTCACCACCAAGCATGTGATAAATTAGCACTTAAAATTGCATTTAACAATTTCATTGGTGCCGGCAGGGATCAAACCCGGGTTACTCGTGTTCTGTTATATTTACTGCGAGCATTAACCATCTGAGCTACCACAACTCTAAGTAACAGTAGTATAAGGAATTCCAGGTACTGAGTTCTTTTTTATAAGATAGGGTGACAAACAAGCATACAGTCCATCTGATGGTAAGTGGTTGCTGTGGCCCATAGACACCTACATGTATCCTCTGTTACAAATCAAAATACACATGTGTTATCACCCGTGAGGACTAAGATGGAATGCCTCATTTGCAGTAAAAACGGTCTCCGGTTCTCTACAGTCACCATACGAAACACAGCAGCATTAAGCTACTATTTTACACTGGTATTCTGTGAGAGAATGGTCCTTGCCTAGTTAAGCGGACTCATTCATGCTACAACTACACTACTAATATAACTGCAGTATGGCTCTACTACATATAAAATGAGTTGCAATAATAAAGTATAGCTGCATTTAGAGTTGCCAGCCCACAAAGTTTAAGAACCCGCTTCAGGAACCGGTAGTCAGCTTGGGGTCTCTAGGTGCTACAGATTTACTTGATACTAAATTTACTTATCTACTTCAAATTTTTATCTTTACTTAAATAACAATTGGCACATCTGGTAGTGTGCATTTTTCTTCCTAATGACTTGAACAATTGAGGTCAGATTCACATAATAATACAGGGTTATTTTGCAATATACAATATAAGTAATATAGGCATACATAGAAATGGTAAAGAAAAATAAATCTCAAACATTCTGTCCTTTTTATCATTTAAATTTGGAATGTATTATTTTAACTGATTGTCATTAAATATTTAACACCTACTATTTTACTATGCACATACACATTCACACATTTTTAATGGTTGCTCAGTTAGCAAAAACATTGTGAACTGAATTGCATACAAAGGACTGCGTGTATGCATAGTTTTTGCCCATAAAATTACATTCAATTTGGGATAATTTCAAAAACGAGAAACCTTATTTACTAAATTTCAAGAGCTATAATAATGGTATATCATTATTTATATATGTGAACTTAAATATAAAATTTAGATACTCTTTCAAAAATAACCCCATATTTGTTTTATCAAGACAATGGTTCATTGCTAAGCTAGGAATCAGTAGTTAGTGCTGTAGTTAAAAAAATATATTTATGCATTATAATGAATCACATTCACAATATTTGTTGGTTAAAAGTACAAAAAAGAAAAATCACAAAATCCGAACCTGATTTTGAGACATTGTACTTGAGTTATTAATTCATTTTATATTTAAACTTTAAAAATTTTAAGGAGTAAAACATAGGTAAAAATCAGAAAGGCCAGGACAATGCCTACAAAGACTGTTCTCATTACTTAAAACATTATCTACAAAATATATTTCTGTCTTTTTATATGCATGATCATTATTATTAAATTTGAAAGCTATCATTCTCATGATGATAAATTTTTACATCATAAATACATTCATATAAATGAATTTGTCAATTACACTACACAAAACAAAAAATTTACCCAAGAAAGGACAAAAATAAATGAATACTATTTTCATTTAAAATGATTTAGTAAAAAAAAATTCAATAATTTTTTATCCTTTATAGATTGTGGTATCTCTTACTATTATTGTATGTGTATATTACCTGTATAATTAAAAATTAATATTTGGCGTAAATAGAATAGAAAATAAAATAGAAACTAGAATAGATAAAAGAGTATTGAAGGACGACTCATTTACCCATGTCACGACACCCACCTTCAATGTAGGCGTTTGTTAGTAAATGTTTATACGATTATTCGGAATTAACATAGATTTATCACAATTACGTATGGTTATTATGAAATTAAGCACATACCTGAATTAGACTTCTTAATCGAAGTTGCTGGGTCGCCAGAGGCGTCCACTCTCTGCATCGGGGTCTCCCAAACATCATTATAAAATTTTAAACTTCACAAAAAACAGGATCACGCTCTAAACCACGACATTTCAGTAGTATAAAATCACAATATACTTTTCCCTCTGACACAAAAACACATGAAATAGATAGATCTATAGAAAATATTTTATAAGAATAAATAAATAACAAAGCAAAGCATTCTCCTGACTTTTCACATTCACAAATGTCAAAGTCGATTTGTCATTTGTCAAATCAAACTGATTAAGTTTTTTTTTTATTTTGTTATCTGACCATGGATGCAGAGTCTTACAGACGAAATATAAAAAATTCAGTCTAGTTTGATGTATATTTTATTCAAAATTGCCTGACAAGTCGTATTGTGTAGTTTTTGGGAAATATTACGATAGCTTAAACTTTTGTGGCATATCCCAAACTGGTTTAACCAGGTCCCGATATTGTATTGAGCCAACTTAATAAGACCTATGGTCAGTTATATTGGTCAATCATATTTTTTTCGGAACAATTTTTTTTAATGTAATAATTTGTAAAAATTATACAACTAAATTTTTTTAAATTTTATCTTAATTAGTGTCGTTACTGGGTAAACTATAGACGTCCGGTACTCGCGTACGGTGTTGGGAGGGAGAGGGGAGGGGGTCATGGGAAGCCCTCCCTACTCTTCCCCCGTTGCGGAAATGTATAGTTTATGAATAATAATTTTTTGTAAAATCATAACCTCACTTTTTTATACAGCAGTGTTGACGTAAAGTTACTTCTGCAACGCCTTCGGCACTGCGGGAAGTGCAGCCCCTTCGCCCTTGCGTAGCAAATCACAAGCACCCATGGTCGCCTTCGCAGCTTGGCCTTATTGGTCGCCTTCGGCGACCAGCCTCGGCCGCTACGGCTCACTTAGGTGCCTGCGATTTGCTACAGCGGCTGAGGTTGCTCTCCCTTCGTGCCTACGGCTTTACAAAAACACTCTAGGGGTAGGGCAGACAAGAATACGTGAAGTTGGGTGTGCCAATTTGGTTTTAGAAACGATTCGATCAATCGTATCTATAAAGTCAGGTTGCCCTAAACACTGCTATGATAGTGGTAAATGAAATAATGTAATGTGAATCGTTATAATTTTGTTTTCTGAAAAACCTCTTGATTGCTCTTCACTGCGACTCAATTTGTTGTGTATGTGTATTTGTTGTGAGTCCCGTCTTCGGCCACAAGTGGATTGTCTGTGTCCAAGTGATTAACTTTTTTATTAGTGTATCTGTGTTATCGACAGCGTTTCGTTATATGCAATTTTTAGTGAAATTTATTTTTATCGTAATTAAGTCAAAAGGCATTTCCGAAATCCAAAAACAGTGTAAGTGGTTCGATCTTAACCCTGACAATCCTCCAAAATGAAAACAAAATTAAAAAATCAAGTACCTGACATCTACTTTATAATACGAGAACAAATTGACATATTTGCGTTTCGTAATTACACAATTTTTATTTAAATTTGTTTTTATCGTGATTAATTCAAAACGCATTTCCGACATCTAAAAACAGTGTAGTAGGTTCAAGCTTAACCCTAACAATCCTCCTAGACTAAAAGCATTATCAAAATCAAGTACCGGATGTCTATACCCAGCCCTCGTTACTAATTTATGAGAATGAAGTTTATACGAGAAATAAATTAAGATCATTTACTTCAAATGATCCATTCCACCATTATGTTACTTTACCATTAGAACTACGTCGGCCTTGCAGGTCAATGCAAATTCAAATTCTTTATTGCATAACTTAATCTATTACATAGCATATTGTGGTTGGAGCTTCCTTTTAAGCAAAGGATTTGCTTGTACTAGGAAGCACCGCTCTTCCAAATAATGGGTATATAACATCAAGTTGAGGTGAAAAATAATAGAAAATTAGTTATTAAATTATAGAAATATAAAATAATACAGGCAGATTATTATTATATTTTTGTACGACTTTAGAGTTACAAAATATGGTGTGTGTGGTGTGTGTGTGTGTGTGTGAGTGAGTGAGTGCGTGCGTGTGCGTGTGTGCGCGCGCGCGCGTGTGTGTGCGTGCGTGCGTGCATGTGGGTGCGTTTGTGTGTTGTATGTATGTATTAAATATGTACCCTTATAAATTATTTTTATTATGTGGAATATAACACATATTGGTTTATTGGCCCTACAACTGTGCTTTGGGATCGGAAGTTATCATTGTTCAATGAATAGCTTTCTATAACTGTCACCAAAGATTGCATAGCACTCAGATACGCTTATGAGTGATGAACGATACTCTCGATTTCTTCATAGTTTTTTGTAATTAACCATTTCTCTAGTGTCTTTTTACATTCAAGATATGTTGCAGGGTAAATATTTAGTTTCTTATTAAGTTTATAATATATGTAAGCAGATTGGCTGTTGTGTTGCCTCTTTGAAAATACCGATTTAACCCGGGGCTGCGGAACAACGTTAACTATCGTCCTACGATTACTTTTTCCTGGGTCGTAGTAAATTGAGTTGTGTTTTCTCGTCACAATACGTAGGAGGTACAGCTTTCTTACCGATAAGATACCGCTTTTTAAATATAAGCTATCCGTTGGTGATCTGTATGACAGGAAGAACATTACTTTCAAAAGAGCCCGTTGTGCTCTTTCCAGATTTAAGAAACTAGTTTTGGTCGCACCTCTCCAAACTGATATGCAGTAGGTGATAACCGATTCGGCAAGTGCGCAGTAGATTTTACGTAGAAGGCTCATTCGAGCTACGTGTCGCTGGGTCTTAAATGACCAGATTAGTTTCCTAACGCTGCAATAGTATCTTGATAGCCAGGATAACCTCTCCAACATGACCCCAAGGTATCTCGTATTAAAAACTTTTTTTAACTCAGGACAAGAACAATCCGTGTCCAAATGATTATTACAATAATGTACTTTAATATTAAAGCTCTCTGGAGGCTGCGCGTTGTTGTATTTGGTAAAACATATATAATTAGTTTTAAGTACATTTAAAGTGAGGAGTTTTTTGTTTAACCAAGTTTAAGATAAAAATCTCATGCTAATTTCATTAAGCCAGTCTCCACACGATTTTTAAGTTGCTCCCAATTATCAGTAGAGAAAACAATAGCTGTGTCATCCGCATATGAGAAGATGTCACCACCCTCTATCTGCATATTACAGAAGCTATTGATGTAGGCCAAGAATAACGTGGGACCCAACAAACTGCCCTGCGGGACGCCATAAGTGAGAGTAGACTCAGAGCTGGTAATTGAGCCGATTTTGACCCGAATTTTACGATTGCTGAGATATTCACCAAGTAGTTTTAGCGGTATACCTCTAATACCAATGTCATGAAGGTTTTGTACTAGAATAGGCACGGAAAATGTGTTGAACGCCTTTTTTAAATGTAGGAAGACAGCTAAACATTGTCTTCCAGAATCAACATGATTTACCGTGAGGGAAGTCAGTGTAATCATTGCGTCTTCCGTAGATAAGTTCTGACGGAAACCGAATTGTGAAGGTGAAAGTGTATTAAATTTAGAAAAAACTTAACTAATCTGATATTTATTAATTTCTCGAGTATCTTTGTTATTACTAACTTATATCCTTCTGATCTTGCGAAGTCACGGGCAATGAAGTGTATACGAGTGAGTTAAGGCTGAGCACCCCTGCCAAATCTCATTCGTTCACACATCATCAGCAATCCCACCTGGGTCAAGCGTATGCAGTAAATAAACTTAGTAAATAGTTTTGTTGCATATAATTTAAGTATAAATAAGCAATTGTAATCAGTTATAATCGAATATTGTAGTAATAAACTTCTTACTGTAACTCTTTCAGAACAGAAAAATCGGTCGTACGTCTCAACGTTTTAATCGGGGAAAAAGGAACAAACAAATTTATTAAGGAACAGACCAACTTCAAGGACGGAGCACCAATATTCCAGAAGGAGCATGGGGAAAACTGCAGCACTGTGAGTAGATCTTCTTCACCGATCTGTATTTTCCTACCCTTCTTATTTTTTGTGTGTTTATATTCTGTTTTTTTTTTGTGGGATTAATTACGCCTAATTACTAGATAAATTCACACTTAGTTAATTATTCAAATTAGTTAAGTAATTGAGGAATTTAAAATTATTTCATTTAATTTCCTTATAAATTCACTTAATAATAACCGAAGAGTATTTTTTATTTCTTTATTGGTAGCGTATTCTGTAACAAAAAGAAAGAAAAATGGAAAATTTAGTGAGAGTTCCTATGGAAATGGTTAAAATTATCCCTAATTTCGATGGTGATACTAGACTTTTACCACTCTTTATAAAAAAATGCGAGTACATACTCCATTCATTCCAAGGAAGCCAGTTACAAAACGAATATTTATTCCATGTTATTAGAAGTAGGTTATCCGGGGAAGCTGCGAACCTAGTTGGAGAACGGGATCATATTAATAATTGGGACGAATTAAAAACATTACTAAGCCAACATTTTGGTGACCCGAGATCCGAGGAATGTTTGGCTTTGGAACTCGAATCCTTAAAATTAAACCGTAATGAAAATTACCAGGAATTTTGTCACAGGATACACATTTGAGAAGTGTCTTATTTTCAAAGGTTAGCGAAACGATTGACGATCCGAACTTACGTCTAGCGAAACAATCTATTTATAACCATAGTTCACTAAATGCGTTTCTTTATAATTTACCGGCATATTTAGTTAGACTTGTGAGATTACGGAGCGTGACTACTCTAGAAGACGCCTTGAAAATTGTCTTAGAAGAACAAAACTTTCAGTCAGTTTATGAAAGTAAAAATTCACGGTCTAATCGAACAAACTGTAGGCCGAGTCCTAACAATAATCACACTTATTCACCTAGAAATATCCCCCATACGGAGCAATCAGTGCAAAACTAAAAACAGAACAATTTCATCCTACGTTAATAATAACCGCTCTTTTAACTCGTCAAATAATTCATTCCAATTTAGGCAAAATAATAACCGTAACAATAACCATCGCAATAATTATCAACAGCAATCGATACTAGGTCACCAGTACCACCGGCGCCGGGTCCGATACAGCGTAGTCAGTATTTCGCGGACAATGCCCCTGCATGCGAAAACTAGACTCAGCGTCTAACGCAATACCAATCGCCACCTGTGGCGTCGAGTTCGAACACCGATGTAACAATGCGAACTGCTAACTCAAGGAGAATAAACTATACCAATAGCGAAATAAATCAACCTTGCAATTCACAACAATGTATTGCATCAAATCAGTATAATAATTCGGATTTGGCTGAAATTGAAAATTTTCACATATTAGCCATGTCGAGACCAGGAATAACTTAGTTTTTGTATTAGATATCCCACTAATTGAACCAGACATATACACATAATACAAAATAATACCAATTCCAATATCTAATTCCGATCTTACCCATATCATAATCCCATCATATCCTTTCCTATTGGTGAAAAGATTGAAATACCGATCATCGGTGAGTCCCTGTGAAGAAATCGACGACGAAAAGTTCTTATGCCCTGAGGAAAGTCTCGCAGAGTATCCAGCTGAAACATGTATTGAGCAAATAATGCAGATGAAAACCAACCACAGTAGTTGCCAGCAACATAATATACGATTGGATAATTTGAAAATTCAGAGGATCTTCAAGAACTATTGGCTACAGTATACCACTAAGGACTCGATAATAACTGAACACTGTCCAGAACATGTACAAAAATACCAAGTGCAAGGCACATATATAATGATACCTAATAAAGAATGCAGAACACATGTTGGAGACACGTTCATCAACGCTCCGAGGTACTTTGCGAATATCAAACTTCAGCTTCTCACAATCGAGATGCCAACCGTACGAGAGGATGACATCAAGAAAGAAGCAAAACAGATTTAAGACACGTGGACCTCAGCGATATAAAAGAACTAATAAATAGTGCTAAATTCGGTGATAACGAAATAAATACGAAATTCTTAGTAACAAGTGAAATCAGTGTATGGACCATAAGTTTATATCTCATTATAGTATCATATAATATCTGTATAGTATTTACCATTTCTAAATTGTAAATACTATAATATACCCTCTTCAGGGGGGAGCAGTTAAGGCTGAGCACCCCTGCCAAATCTCATTCGTTCACACATCATCAGCAATCCCATCTGAGTCAAGCGTATGCAGTAAATAAACTTAGTAAATAGTTTTATTGCATATAATTAGTTTGTTTGATTTCAGTTTGTGCCGTTACAATCTTTTTCAATTCAACTTGTTGTGCCGCGAATAGTGATGAAATCATGTTCTTCATTTCACCCTTAAACATGTTAAATTCTTCCTCAAACTCGTGTTCTCGGCTTCGTTTTTGTCGTTGGTAAATGTAGCTAGGTAGTTTTTGCTCTCCACTAGCCTGTTCGGTAATATTAGAGTCCAATAATGATTTCTTAAATTTACGCGAACACTACACATTGAATAAAACTAAATTTACGGATTTTATCGCGTTTATTTCATTACTTTTACTTATTTTTAATTCCCGACGTTTCGGGTGCTTTACAGCACACATGGTCACGGGGGGGGGGACTGAGATGTTTGACGTCCCAATGTCATAGATAGTCCGGCTACCTTCAGTTTTTGAATATTAATTTTTGGTCCGATTTACGCAAAACGAGCTTATAGTATCATGAACTCTTGCAGGGCACATAACATAACAAAGACAAGTGTGGACAAGTGCGTCTCTTGACTTGTTGGGTATCGCATGCGTGAATTCCTTATGGAGTTCTCTATGATTTTAAAATCAGTGTTATAACGACGACTCCTGGCTATTTCATTGGACTCTTAGTATTGCTTTTTGATTTGGACTTTGTTTGGTAATTTTACGACGACTTGGCTTGTATCTGGACTGATATTGTGTATCAAGGTGCCACGTATTCAATACGGCACGCATTGCACTTCATTTATGGTGAATGCAGAAGCAACGCAAGTGCTGCTGCAGTCATTTATAGGGAAAGATACCCTACCGCCGGAGTCGTGGTAGCTCAGATGGTTAACCCTCGCTGTAAATATAACAGAACGCGAGTAACCCAACCCGGGTTCGATCCCCGCCGGCACCAATGAAATGTTAATTGTAATTTTAATTGCTGATTTACCACGTGCTAGGCGGTGAAGGAAAACATCGTGAGAAAACCTGCATGTCTGAGGAATAAGAAAAAAATATATTTCGAAGACATGTGAAGTTCGCCAAGACGCATTGGGGCAGCGCGGCGGACATTTCCTTGCCCTAAAACCCTCTCAGAAATGAGGGGAGGTCTGTGTTCAGCAGTGGGACGTATATAGGCAGTGACTTTACTTTACTTATACCCTACCGCGCGTCACCCAGATTCCCGCGTATTCATCAGAGTCCACAGGCGTTATTCGGAAGGTAGAACAGCTACATTAATAATATTAGCACAGGTTTTCAATAAAAGGTTTTCAATTGACGATTAGTACGGATAAACCTATTCCTTTTAATTAAGATAATAATTCGTCTTTTTTTCTTTTTAGCTTCGGTATGCAAGGCAAAATGGAACTTGTTACGAAATGCATTCGTACATGGTGTAAGCAGACGAAAAACAGTGACAGGGCAAGGCGTAAAAATCTTGAAGAAATAGAAATTTAAAGACAAGATGTCATTTTTATTACGTTTTATGACGCATAGGAACACTACATCTAATACCGGCGAGAGCAAAGAAAACCAAAAATCGTGTACAATAAATGAAGACTCGAAAGAAGATAAAACACATCAGAGAAAACGCTAAAAATAATAATTATCAGGAACAGATCTTAAATGTGATGAAAGCAAGAAGTCAGAGTAAATCAGAAAAAGATGACATTGACTTATTGTTTGAAACAATGGCTAAAACAGTAAAGAAGTTCCTTAGAATAGAGCAAGTTTAATTAAAATTTGATATAATGAAACTGGTTAATGAAAAAGAAATGAGGTGGCTAGATTCTCTGACAGAATCTTCGGCTTCTTCAAGTAGGATGTCAGAAATATAAACACCACCATCAACTCAACCGTTCACTCGCCGCAAGTCTCTTCCATACTTAAGAAAACAATCTACTTCGCCTGCGTACTCACGTCCATCTTGATCCTTACCTCAGAGCACCCAACGATCACCTTCTCCTCTCACTCAACAAGTTTCCTCTCCTATGTTTTTACCGTATCAGAACACTTCAGTCACCTACTTTCACAAAAATATCTGCCTCATCTTCTTACGTCCCGGAGTCTTCACCCACACTACAGAACATCCACTAATGACCTCTATGTATTCGTCAGTCTGCCTTACTTCATCCGTAGAACAGTCTTCATGCTTACCTCAAAACACCCTGCAATCACCTTTTTTCAATCGACAATCTGCCTTGTCTTCATCTGTACAGCCATCTTCACCAACTGCTCCGAGCACCCATAAATCACTTCCCAATCAACAGTTTTCCTTGCATCTGTCCTTTAACCGAATCCAGCCATTAACTTCACAAATACTTTCCATGCAATTCAACTCTCAATCAATACTATAGACAATGCAAAATTCTTTTATTGAGCTTTCCATGTCATCTTCTGAAGAATTATTGTATTAATGAAGTAGACGAGACAGCATCCATGAACATGAGTCAGGAAAGCAGCAGTGAGATATATGAAGGGCCAGCAAAATCACTTCTTGAATATTTGATCATTAATAAACCTTAATAAATAAGCAAATTAAATTGAGCACATTCGTTGTATTATTTAGGTATATACTCACCTCAAAGTCACCACTAGACGCTCCTTTGCAGATATCGGTTTCCGAAACTGTGTCATTTGTTTTTCGATATCATTTTCAATCAGACTAAGCAGAAAATTTAATTGGTCTTCATTCATTCTTAAGTACATTTTGTAACGTTATTCATCTTTTTGTAAGTCTGAATACAATGTATTAAATAATGATTTCTTATATTTACGTGAACACTACACATGATTAAAACTATTATATTATATAGGACTAATATATTATATAGGACAAACAAAAAAGATCAATTAGAACCCGCGTAAAAGAACATATAGCTGATGTGAAGCATCAACGTTCCGGGAAGTCTGCAGTTTGTGATCATATCCTAGACGGCCCCAACCATTACATCAGATTTGATAGACCACAAATCCTCGCGAAAGAACACCGATTCCTACCACGGATGATACGTGAGGCTATTGAAATTAAAAAAACATCCTAATTTCAATAGAGAAGGAGGCTGGGTACTACACTGCTTGGGACCATAGGGATCCTATAATCAATAAAATTAAAACTAGACCCAAGCATACCACTGCAAGACCTCAAGACATGGTCAGTTCATTTTGCATAGATCGGACCATAAACAATAATTAAAAAAGCTGAAGGTACTCCGGGTTTAACAATGACATCGGGACGTCAGTCATCTCAGTCCCCCGTGACCATGGGTGCTGGAAAGCGCCTGAAACGTCGAGAATTAAAAATAAAAGTAATTAAAAGCAAAAATAAACGCGATAAAATCCGTAAAAGTAGATTTAACAATGTATTAATGTAATAAATTCACCATACTCGAGTTGTTTTACATTAATGTCATGAACCCAAACATTCTTTTTCACTTTTTTTTGGAAGACAACATAAGACAGCTGACGCTAACTCTATAAATTTGTCCTAGCTGTTGCCGCTGCTTGTCATGTTTCTCGATTGACAAACCTTTATGGAATCACCGAAGTGAGGGGTCCGAAGACCCCATCTCGACTACCGTGCACACCGCTAAGCCACGTCCGATAGTTTGTTCTACAGAAAGATATGGTGTAGTGGATTCTATTACGCAGTAGCTGCGTAATAGAGAACGGCGAAGTTAGCGTTTATAAATAGTGACACTTATACGAGGGTGACATTGAAAGTTCTTAGAAAATCAAAAACTAAACAAACTAGCAAGTTATAAAAAAAAAATATTAATAATGCTATAGACATTACTAATATTCCTCTTAACCACTCGTAGTAGGCTTAAATTGTTTGTGTTACGAGTGGTTCACGCCAGTAGTCGAATGGCGGATTCAAACCCACGACCTTTTTGAGTTCGCGGTCCGCGCCCTGCCATTAGGCTACTGTCGCTTCAAGTTTTATTACATCTTTTCAAAATAGTGTCCATTTACATCAATATATCGCTGCATCCGATAGAACCACTGAGAAAAGCACTTTGCCCACTCGTCCTTAGGGGTCTTTTCGACTTAGACGGCATTTAGAAACGCTGCCACCGCTTCCTCGGCGTCCATAAAACGTTTTATTCGAAGTTTTTCTTTTATTTTCGGAAATTAATAAAAATCGCAAGGTGCGAGGTCGGAGCTATAGGGCGGGTGACCCAGCAATTCCATGTCAGACGTCACCAAGTAATCGACTGTTTGGTTTGCGACGAGGCGTTGTCGTGGTGAAGAAGGATCCTACTGCGAGGTCGTTTCTCCCGAACTTTTTCCAAGACAAGTGGCAAACAACTGTTAGTGTACCACTCTGCAGTAACTGTTTTTCGATCCTCTAAATCAATTGTTGCGTAATGACAATTGATCCTTGATTGATTGTCCTTCCTCTCTTCACTTTAGTTGGCAATTCCTCGGAAGGAAATACCCAGGCTGTCTCTTAGTTTCAGGATCATAAGAATAAATCCAGCTTTCGTCACCCGTAAGTATGTCGAACACAGCATTTGAGTCACCTCCGTTAAATCTTTGAACCATTTCACGATACCAATCAACACGACGGAGTTTTTGGGCCTCTGTCAAATTATGAGGTATCCACCGGGCACAGAGCTTCCTGACCGCTAAATGTTCATGGAGGATTTTGTGCACTTGACGCATGCCGATGCCTAAGCTTGTCCGAATCTGCTGATAAGTCATTCTTTTGTCAGTCCGTATCATACGCTGCACAACACAGATGTTATTTTCAGTTGTCGCCGTAAAAGACCGTCCCTCACGCAGATCATCGGTGAGATTAGTGCGACCACTTTTAAACTCTTTAAACCAGTTGTAAAAAGTGGCACGAGATGAGGCTTCATCGTGAAAGGCCAATCGAAGTCTATCATAACTTCTTGTTGACTTAAATGGCATCGAATGTCATAAAAAATCATTGCACGAAAATTTTCTCGCGGTAAAATTCATGCTGACGTGACATAGACAATTCTCAATTTGCCGCCAAATAGTAAACAAATGAAAAATTAATAAAATACGTACACAATAATATTGGCCATAAGTTCCATTTTCAAAATTTGCCTTACTTACAGTTCGTAGAGACGTTCGAGATGTACACGTACAAGTGTGCATTGCCGCAGGATTTATTACTGAGCTTTATTATAAACCTCTTCTAGATGATTGTAGTTCCTGCCACTTAAAAATATATAAATGACAACATAGATAAATATTATTTTACAACCCTCAAGTAATCTACTTACTAAAGAGACACTTATTTTCTTTTTTATTTTTTTACTCTTTCAAATTATATTTATACATGGTAGAGCCACGCCGTAACTATATTATAGTTATACCATGCAGGGGTGGGCTCGACTGGGGCAGGCCCACGCTCTCACAGAATACCAGCGTAATGCTGCTGTGTTTTGTATAGTGAGTGTAGAGAACCGGAGAGCCGGAATTCTTTTACCGGAATCAAGGCATTCCAGTAAAAAGGACCTGTAATAATAATTGTGGCAAAAAAAACTATACTATCTCTCAAGTTGAACCAAACTGCACACAGTGTGAAAATTTGATTAAAATCGGTTAAGTAGTTTAGGAGTCCATCGCGGACAAACAACGTGACACGTAATATTATATATATATATATATATATATATATATATATATATATATATATATATATATATATATATATATAAAATCGGATTATAATATCCTATTTATATGTCCTGTTTACGAACAAGTCCACGATATTATAGGAAAACTAGCAATCCACCCTGGCTTCGCACGGGTGATTTCTGGATCTCGATAACAGCTATAAATAGATAACAGATTGTTTTCACACAAAATTTCATGAAAAATTTTCAATTCGTTTAGAAGTTTAGTGTATATACTAGATGATTTTTTTTACCGTCTGAAAACCGATATTTTACAAATTTTTTTTAATTTACTTTAACATATTATGAAATTGATCTATCAATATATACACTACTAATTGGGTACGTATTCTTTTACGTACGTATTTATTAAGTACAAAATCTTTGTTGTTATTTTTTTTGGTACCGAAAGTTTATTTTCAATTAGTAGTGTTTATTGATAGATCAATTTCATAATATGTTAATGTAAAATAAAAAGAAGTAAAATATCAGTGCGATAGGCTTCTAATCCGTTTACCTGTTACACCCTATTTTATTCCAGACGGAAAAATCACTTAGTATACAGTAAAACCTGGGTAAATGAGAAAACTCTATACGTGAGAGTTAGCCAGGACCCGTCAGTTATAAGCTCCCAAAACCTCTATCAGCGAGAAACAGAAACCTCTGCAAGAGAGAGTCGATTTTTTCTCATGGACCTCCGTAAGAGAGACTGTTACTTATCTATACCTATATTAAGCGACAGTCGAGCTTTATTTATTTATACTATTTAGGGGGAACTATAGCTACAATAAAAATACATACATACATGAAAGATACACACATACAGTAATAAATGACAAAACAAATTACAAATTTAACGTCTGCTATTTTATGACTCATTCTTAACTTTCGTGGAACTTCCTACCTGTTGTACCCATTCTATATCGTGGAACTAATGAACGTTGTTATTGCTGCATACCTCTATAAGAGAGAAACTTTACCCATGTACCTGCATTAGCGAGAAACTCAGGTTAGTAAGAAACGGCCGCACATGGAATACTGTTCCCATCTCTGGGCTGGGGCTCCCCAGTACCAGCTTCTTCCACTTGACCGCATCCAGCGCAGAGCGGCTCGAATCGTCGACGACCGAGTGCTTTCCGATCGGCTCGATTCACTGGCGCTGCGAAGAGATGTTGCATCTCTTTGCGTATTTTATCGCATCTATCACGGGGAGTGCTCTGAGGAATTGTTCGGATTAATCCCAGCCGCCAAATTTCGTGAACGCACTACACGTCGAACGTCCCGATACCATCCACACCATCTGGATGCTTGGCGGTCCACCACTGTACGTTTCACAAGGAGTTTTCTTCCACGTACAACCTCTCTGTAGAATAGTTTACCACCGGCGATTTTTCCGGACCGATACGACCTGGGGACCTTCAAGAAAAGAGCTTACTCCTTTCTAAAGGGCCGGCAACGCACCCGCAATTCTCCTGGTGTTGCGGTTGAACATGGGCGGCGGTAGTCACTTAACATCAGGTGAGCCGCATGCTCGTTTGCCCCTTCTTCTAAAAAAAAACCTCTATAAGCGAGAATGAGATTGTGCTACCTTGAACTCTCGCTTATCCAGGTTTGACTGTATTATAAAGATAACAGTGGGTAACTTGCTGCTTGACAGTAGAAATCATTGAGTTATATAAACTATAAATCAATGGTAGAAATAAGTAAAAGGGAGGTTTCTATCCACACGAATGCCTTAGTCATTTCATCCATGAAATAGAAACGAATATAAATAAACGAGATACTTCCCCAAGAAATGGCTATAAAGAAATTTATAGGTATCGTAAAGTTGATTACCAATTAACCTTTAAGACAAAACTAAATTTTATTTTCTGTGTGACTGCTATGAGGACTACGCTATTTCATTAACAACGACATGGAGAGTTTTATTTACATTGTTGTTTTTTCCTTTATTTATAATTGTCCAACAGCGGTAAGGAATACTAATCTTTATATACATAATTCTTCTGTACGTGCGTTTATCATTACACACGATTGGACCGATTGTGTGTCCCTTAATGGTTTAAATTGGCAAGGTTAGATTAGTGCATCAAGTAAAGTAACAGTAAGGATATCCGCAGTAGAACTAGCTTAACCGAAACAGCGTAACAGAAAAATAAACTGAAGTAGCAATGTGCCGGCCATACAGCTCGAGGAACCGATAACCGATGGGGAAAAAAGTTCTCGAGTGGCTTTCTCCCGGTTAGCGAAGTTAAAGGCGCCCCCCCACCCACTAAATGTACTGACGACCTGGTAAGATATGCATGAAGTCAATAGATGCAGGTGGCTCAGCACCGTGGTATGTTGTCTTCCTTTGGGAGACTTATGTGCAACAGTGAAGTTTTCTTGGGCCGTAATGATGGAAGTAAAGTTAAAATTACAGCCGATATACGTCCCACTGCTGGGCACTGGCCTCATCGTTGAGAGGGTTTTAGGGCAAGAAAGTTTCCGCTGCGGTGCTCCAATGCATGTTGGCGAACTTCACGTCTTCAAAAAGTTATTTCTTAGACAATGCAGGTTTTCTCACGACTTGTTCCTTTAACGCCGAACACGTGGTAAATCAGCGCTTAATTGAGGAGCTGTGGTAGCTCAGCGTTCGCTTACTGTAAACTTCATAGTACGCGAGCAATCCGGGTTCGATCCTCACCGGCACCAATGAAATTGATAGTTGCAACCTGCTAAATAAAGCTTACCCTATCATCCATACTATAAGAAAAGCCTATATTATCAAGTAATTATATACCGACGGAGATAACTTCATAAATTTAAAGATATTAAAAAACTTTCAGACATGTACAAACTATGATGATTCTGAAGAAAATTATGATTACCGCCAAATTGAACACCATGCATTGAACTTTGATAAAGGAGATTTCATGCCTAATATGAAGTTAAGTAATAAAGAAAGCCTAGAGGTAAGATCAATTTGAGCAGTTGTTTTAAATATGTTTTCAATGATAACAATGGTGTTCTAGCAAATTTCAACTCAAACGATTACTTTCGAGTACTATTAGGTTTTTGTATTTATTGAACGCCAAATACGTATAATGAAATCGTAAAATTAATATAGATAAATATAACAGGTGAGTACAATTTCTTTGTAAAGTCAGTGACGCTACAATTTTTTCCTAGGTTTTGTAATGCAAGATTTGCATGGTTGGAGTATAAAAAAAATATTGATGTGATAAAGGAAGTTGAATTGTTAAGCTGAAGTAGCAATGGGCCGGCCATATAGCTGGAAGAACCGACAACCGATGGGGAAGAAAGGTTCTCGAGTGGCAGCCTCGTACCGGTAGGCGAAGTGTAGGTGACCCCACATTAGATGGAGTGACAACCTGGTAAGACATGCAAGAAACAGATGGATGCAGGTGGCTTAGGACCTTGCTTAGTGGAGCAAGGGGGGCCTATGTTCAGCGGTGGACTTTTGAAGGGATTGAATGATGATGATGATGAAAGGAAGTTGAAAAAGTGGGAAATGCCCGACACTAGTGTTACCTAGGGTCTCTACATGGCTTAATCCGACGCTGAGGACTTATGGTAGGCGGCTCTATACGATGAAGTTGTATATGCGATCAATTGTTGACCGGGGGTAAACCACGCAAACGAAGTATTTAAATAAATGCCACAGAACCATAAATGGCTACTCTTACTGACCATGTAAGGAGCAGCCAGCTATAGAACTTCCATTATGATCGGCACCGAGAGACTTGCTGAAATGTCAAACTGAGGTACACCGTGCTCTCGCATAATACCGTCGTTAATTGCAGCACTAAGCGAAACACAGTAGCTTCAAGCTACTGTGTTTCGTTTGGTGAGTGTAAACAACCGGAGACCCTTTTAGTAAATAGTGTCCTCCATTTTTTTGTCGGTAGTGGCTATGCTAATATGGTATTATCAGTAGATAACGAGGCATTCTACCTTAGTCCTCAGGAGTGACAATTTGATCTGCATTTTGATGTAGATGTACATGTGCCAAATGGGCCAAAGTATCCATTTACGATCAGACGGACTGTGAGCTCGCGAGCCACTATTGTAGTGGCGTTTTCGGGCTAAGATCTTAGGTAGGTTACGAAGCATGGCCAGTCACTGCCACGATCGTACTAAGTACATCTAAATTCAAAAACGAATGGTTGTAATTATAGAAACTCACAAACGATGACCAGTTTTAAAGGTACGAATAGTCTGGGTACGATTACGACAAATTTTCCCTATTAATGGTAGAGGTCCCTGCGTAACCTGCTCTCTGCGTTTACTGTTCAATTTCTGCATTTACTACAATTTAAAAATTGAAATATCACTTTCACTATGTTCCTCTTTCCAATCTACTTCACTAACATAATTTTCAACAAAATTTAATTAAAATTATCATGCACGTACTAAACATGAGTAACCTAGCGAAAGCCCTTGTGTTAACTCAGTAACGCAGTTCCAATTTACTGTGCCATTGCATTTACTGAATTTGCATTAACTCAAAATTCCGGCCATTAAGAAAAAATAAAATGGATTCTTTTATAAAAATTGACATTTGTACTGTTTTTATTTTACCCCGGTGCGGCGCAATGTTACCCATGTCTGGCACGTACCTGTTCTCTCTTTCCAACTGCATTTTTTTTAACTTTTACTCTTCTGGAAAAACTTTCAAAACAAAAAAATTCAAAACCTGTGGTACATCTGTAATTTTGTCTATTAATTTTTAAGCGTAGCGTCAGCTTTACGGTAATTTGATAATCGTAATAAGTAATAACATAGGATTTTGTTGACAAAAAAAAAATTGTCATTTCATGGCCAATTTTTTACCAGTGATTATTAAATGTGGTGCTGTAGATCCATGACCACTAATTTAAAAATGATAAAGACAAAATTTTTATGAAATTTTGATAGGGTAATATTTTAAATAAACTGCAAGATAAAGAACAGTATGAAGCTGAGAAGATGGCCGGGGATATAACAGCTCTTCTCGGAACCAATGTGCATTATTCTCAACCGAATTTTTACAAAGATTTGGGAAGGCGATTCATACCGCAGTATCCATACCATGAAATTGTGAGTAAATATTAGAGTGTTAAGTATTTATTAATCACACAATACTTATTTATTATCGTCTAATATCGATTACTCAGATTAATATTCACAATGACATCGATTTTATGAGTAAGGCCCTTTTGGACATATCCGTAGTATATAGCAGTATAAAAAGCCGCGATTTCTTATGTTATTATATTATGGAATTATTTTATTATTCCTTTTTAAAAGTATATACAATTTTGACTAGGAATATCATAAGCTCGAATGTCGTCTAAGTAGTTACATTAAAACTATAGCCTATTGTTCTACTTTTAATATTGTAATTTTTTTTCTTCTAATTGAAGAAATATAACCTATTTAATTTAAAAAAAAAAGAATCATTAAAACCGGTTCACGGTTGACGAAGATATCACGTAACGTATAAAGTAGTAATTTGTACGTTACATGATATCGATATTATCTATCTATTTATATATGTCGATATTTGACAAAACAGACACATCCATTTGTTTAAATAAATGTTAGGTACTCGAATATCCTTAATTAAAATATAAAAATAATATTGCTGTAAAGTAATGTCAATATATATATATATATATATATATATATATATATATATATATATATATATATATATATATATATATATATATATATAACTGATGAAATATAAATAATATTTTTTGATCTTAGCGACATAACAGAAAAACGGAACTGGTTATTTGAATAAAAAATCATGAGTGCAATTATTTTAATTTTAATTTTCGTGTTTTTAAAAAATACTAAAAAAAAGGGCTCGAAAAAATAGATTTTCTCAAAAAAAGAAAGGAACTTAAAAAAAAAATTAAATAGTCGGTCGGTCGGTCTGGGCTTGAACCATGGTTTTACGATTCTGTGACCATCTATTGTGACTAAACACGGACAAAAAGACATTTTCTAAAAATAAATCCTAGCTAGATCGATTTATTATTCCCGAAACTCCCTGGACACTAAATTTTATGAAAATCGTTGGAGCCGTTTCCGAGATCCCGATTATATATATATATATATATATATATATATGTATATATATATATATATATATATATATATATATATATATATAAATGAACTTTATTTCAAGCACGTTAGTCTTTGCGTTCGTGGATTTGTACTGTGACCACAACATTCTTCCGGAATTATATACTAATTGGGGTGTCTGAGGGTGTGCGTTAATTACGTTAATAACGTATAATAACGTAATTAACGCACACCCTCAGACACCCCAATTAGTATATTATGTTATAATCATAATACATACACTGAATTTTTAGTTAAACATTTTTATACACTGATTATTTATCAAATTAGTTATACTAATTCCGGAAGAATGTTGTGTTTCTAAAAAACTACTTTCTCAAAGTGCGTTAATTATGTTACATGTTGTATACAACATGTATATATATATACTCATGAAATTTTGTTTTACAGGAACCGACTGAAGTGAAGAGAAACGAAAATTATTTAACACCAATGAAAGTATGATAAAATTTTACTCTTCCAATAGCTAATATTTTAATATATCTAAGAAATAACTTAATTTATACTTGCAGGCGCCCCCAGAATTAGTTTTGGCTGTAGCTAAAGAGTCTGCTTTGCTTGAAAGAGCAAGAACAATTAATCCTACAGATGAAATCATAAGGAAACACATTTTAAGAACTGGGGTAAGGAGGAGGTTTTATTTTAATGCTAAAAAATTAGTGATTATATTGAAGATTATACTTAAGAGTACCTACCTACGAGCATGTATACGTAGATATATGGATGTGAAAGAAGCGATAGAGATGTGTCAGAATCGAATAAATAGCAAAGTCCGTAGTCTCTTTCTACTCACCCCCACTGAGTGACGGGCGTGCGAGTTTATATTATTTTATGTAAAAATGACATAGATTTTATGAGATGTAGTCACATGATTCATATTATTTGATTTTTTATTTATTATGAGTGACAAAGACATCGGTACTTACAGCCAACTTACAAGAAAAGAAGTCACGTTTGCCTTTAGTAGGATGAAATGCATCACAACTTAGTATCAGCTTATATTCTTCGTAGAAAACCTGATAATGCGGCATCCCATTTTCGTTCTCAAGGGTAATAATGTATTTGCATCTTGATTATTTTTCTCAACTACTCCCAGCTGTGTTCCAGTCCAAAGGATATAGAGAGCCAATATAATTACTGACTGTGAGGCATAACATCTGAGTCCTCAGAGGTGAAAATCGGATGCAGCTTTCTTTTGTCACTTAAAATGGGCCTATCCTGTTATCGAGAGTATCGCCTAAATCGCCTAATTATTTTGATCCTAAATTGGCGATAAAGTGTCTGAACCACAACATCCACTTTCAATCAGGTGGACTGCCTAGTATGTCACCTTTACTTGTATAAAAATAGTTATTTTAGTAATATTTTAAAGGATTATTGGGACTCTGTGTGGAAAGAAGATATATATAACCCGGCTAAAGCACTCAGGTCAAAAAATGGCAACGAACGAACGTCTGATATTGTAAGTAATAACTGATTAATCAATTCATGGGTATTTGATGGGCTTACAACTTGGGTTTAGGTGCAATAGCAATACCAAGTTATGTGCACCACGTTTACCCGAGCATTAGACGATTCTCTCGTTAGAGTAGTGTAGTCCTTGACTTATGAATATCTTTGGAAAAGTTTTTACGTGGTAGAGCTACGCTGCAGCTATACCTTTTATGGTTGTAGCACGAATGGGTCGGTTCGACCGGGGAAGGACCACGCTCTCACAGAATACCTGCGTCAAATAGCAGCTTAATGCTGTTGTGTTTCGTATGGTGAGTGTAGAGATCCCGAGACCCTTTTTTACTGGAAACGAGGCATTCCGCCTTAGTCCTCAGGCGCGACAGCGCATCTATGTTTTGATTCTTAATCGAAGATAAGTTTATGGGCCACAGCATCTACTTACCATCAGGTGGACTGTGTGCTCGTTTGTCACCCTTATTCTATAAAAAAAGTACAAGTACAAAGTACGGTAAATATTCTTTCACAAGATTGGTCTGTCAGTTCATAGTTATGGTCTATTGAATATTCATGTGTCATTCACTTATAGACTATCGTTCAATTGCGTACACATATGCAAACTTGCCCATACTATTGTCGCTATGTTCTCACAACTTACTGAACTATCTGTACTTTTGGTTTGCTACGTGCTCACAACTCGTGCCGCTATCTGTACTTTTGGTTTGTGTTGTAATTTTGAACTAAAGACCCTTGTTAAAATGTATGACACAATTTGTCGGTACATTTATGTTTTGCGAACAAAGAACACATCGTCATCGTCCGACCGTATACAAAATATTGAATACGGTTCTTTTTATTATTGAAAGGGTGCTTGGTAAGCTTCAGTTAACTCCCCCACACAAAGCTATCAAAGTCTTCTTATAAAAAAATAAGTAATCCATACGAAAAATCTAGATATAAAATTAGTTGTTCAACTAACTATGCAACATTTCACATATGGCAGAAAAACAGACATAGAGCTGATCCCACATAAGTTTTCTGTTGATAATGATGGCACTTTAAAAGTGTCTAATTCTATTATGTAATAATTTGTGACTTCTTGAAAAAAAAACTCCCACTGGGTTTCTTGCTGATTCTTCCCAGGACAGAGGTATTTTTCCGAACTAGTGGTTAAGGTAAAAGTAAAAAAAGTAAAGTTACAGCCTATATACGTCCCACTGCTGGGCACAGGCCTCCTCTCATTTCTGAGAGGGTTTTAGGGCAAGGAAGTTTCCGGCGCGCTGCCCCAATGCGTGTTGGCGAACTTCACATGTTTTCGAAATATATTTTTTTTTCTTATTCTTCAGACATGCGGGTTTCCTCACGATGTTTTCCTTCACCGCCGAGCACGTGGTAAATCAGCACTTAAAATTGCAATTAACAATCTCATTGGTGCCGGCGGGGATCGAACCCGGGTTATTCGCGTTGTGTTAACCGTATTTACAGCGAGCGTTAACCATCTGAGCTACAACGGCTCAAAAGGTAAAAGTAAATAATGACTTTCAATAAGAATTACATGTAATCTATATTGAATAAATAAGCGAGTTTTTTCCCGTGATACGTTTATAGCATATCCTTGCATTGTCATCAGAATTAGCTACATTCAAAATTTCAAGTTTACCGCTCATCGGGAAATTAGTTTAAAATCAATTAATTCCAACCGGAATGACAGACAAACTAGGAAGTGACTATAGACTATATAAATTTGCCATTGAGAGCTCAAAAGCTAAGCATTCGGCGTATTCTTTAAAAAGAAATATGTCACAGTAGCAAGCAAACCGCGCGCTCATGAGGTCAGGAGAACCATCTCACATGGGAGAATAGTTGAAAAAGTGTCCATCTGTAAGCAGTAAATAACAATTCAAAAACTCTCCACAACAGCGCTAGAGTAGCTAAAGGGTAGGAAATGAACTTAGCAGTTGTCGACGGAGTGGAGTGTGTTAAGTTGAGGAATTTAATATTTGTGGTGATTAGAGTAGTTGATGAAACTGCAGTGTTTAAAACCTTAACTACTCACGTTCGTTAAAATAATTTAGTAAATATTACCTAGAAAAAGCCGCCGTGAAACCTGTTGAGTGATATTAAAAATAAAAATTTTGAAAACAATAAAAATATTATTATAAAAAAGAATTATGGTGAAAGTCTGTGCAGTAAAAAGTTATGAAAAGTTCTTTAAAATTTACCCTCTAGCTACAGTGACGCCACCTTTATTTAGCGCTTCCCTAGGGACACTTTTTAATACAGAGACGGTTCTCCTTACCTCTTCACTCCATGAACCTGCTTTTGCGTCCCGCTTGCACAGATAAAATGGTTAATTGGAATCAAATGCTGATTTGCCATTTTCTTGGTGTGGAAAACATAGTGAAGGAAAACATCAAAGTGAAACCACGCACGAAGTAACCACTACAAATAAAGGCCATAACTATTTTTTTTTACTATTTACTTAACTACAATAAAACATTTTGGTTGACAGGAAATGTTGCAAGCGAGAATAAAGGCCGGATCCAAATTGTATCGCCTTATATCCGTGCTTAAACAGATTTCGCCGCGCCTAATCTACGTGATAAATAATGATAAGAATACATAATTTGTTGAATACGAGTATGCAAGGAAGATGTTAGAATGTTTTTTATAAAATATATTATAAACAATTTGCACAACGACTTTGAATGAATTTACTCATATTTTTAAATGCCATCCGTTCAAATTCACGTCACTGACCCCTTTGGTGTGGGCGAGATCAATTTCGCCAGGCCCTTGGCGACTAATAATTATTTTCCAAAAATTTTACTTATACTGTACTATTATAACCCGTACAAGTCCACAGCTGAACATAGAACTTCTCTAGCTACTGTCACGGTCTTGAGCTACCTAAATACACCACCATACATGTTTTACCCTGTCGTTCGACCTCCATTTAATGTAGAGTCACCTCTATCCGCTTACCAGGAGGCTGCCACTCGGGAACCTTTCTTCTCCACAGTTTGTCGGTTCTTAGAGCTATAACCGGCCTATTGCGCATTCTTTACTGATATCTTGAACCATGTCTGTAACGCTGGTTCTGCTGCAAAATCTTCGACAAGAGTATTAACGATGTCTTGAATTTTCATCGTTCTAGCTTAATATTTTTCTTCAATGAAAATTTTTTGATCTTTCGAGTGCGAGGCTCTTGGGGCCGCGAGGCCGTAGGTGGTTGCCCACGTCGCACGAGGCAATGGGCCGGCCATATAGCTCGAAGAACCAATAACCGATGGGGAAGAAAGGTTCTCGAGTGGCAGCCTCGTACCGGTAGGCGTAGTGTAGGGCGACCCACCGCTAGATGGAGTGACGACCTGGTAAGATATGCAGGAAGTCGATGGATGCAGGTGGCTCAGGACCGTGCTTTGTGGCATTACTTGGGGGAGGCCTATGTTCAGCAGTGGACTTGTGAAGGGCTGTATTGATGATGATGATGATTTATATGTTCACTAAACGCCAAGAAAGAAAATCGCGAAATCTGGACCCGCTGTGGTCGAGTTATGAATAAATTTACTATTTAAATACTCTATAAAAGTTCGGAGTGAAACTCTTCGTGCCATCTACCGGAAAGGACAGAACCACGTGCGCCAGGCCAGCTATAAAATAAAAAATGACAGTTTTTGTTTGTAATGTATGCGATGCATGGTAAGTGGATGCTGCAGCCCTTAGACATTTAGTAACATATATCCTCGCTGAATCAAAATGCAGATGCGTTGTTACTCCTGATAACTAAGATGGAATGTCTCGTTTCCGGTAAAAGAGGGTATTTGGTTCTTTGCACTCGTCATACGAAATACAGCAGCACTACGTTGCTAACTTACGCTGGTATTCTGTGAGAGCGTGGTCCTTCTTAGAAATAAGGTATATTCGCACTAAAACCAGAGTGATCGACGTAAGTAGCCCAACGGATTTGTAAGCTGAAGTGGCAATGAGCCGGCCGTATAGCTCGAAGAACCGATAACTGGTGGGAAAAAAGGTTCTCGAGTCGTAGCCTCGTACCGGTAGGCGAAGTGTAGGACGACCCCCCACTAGATGGAGTGTCGACCTGATAACACATGTTCCTGCATGTCTTGTCGATGGATGCAAGTGGCTCAGGACCGTGCTTTGTGGCATTCCTTGGGAGAGGCCTATGTTCAGCAGTGGACTTGTGAAGGGCTGTAATGATGATGACGATTATAATATTTATAACTGCAGTAAGTCTACTATACTTATAATAATTTGCGACTTCTTGAAAAATAAAGTCCCGCTGGGTTTCTCTCTGGTTCATACCAGGACAAAGGATTTTTCCAAACCAATGGTAAAGGTAAAAATGACTTTCAATAAGAATTACATGTAATCTGTATTGAATAAATAAGTGATTTTTCCGTGGTAGGTAGGTTTTTTCCATATTCTGGCATTGTCATCCGAGTTGCATTGAAAATTTCAAGTTTCCAGCTCATCGAGAAGTTAGTTTAAAATCAATTGCGTAGTAAATTCCATTCGAAACGACTGACCAACAAGAAAATAGTGGACTTCTGAAGGGGAAGGGAATGATGATGACGATGATAATATAACTGCAGTAAGGCTCCACCACCTTCAAATCCCATTCCCATATCATTTATCCGAATACAATGGAACCTTGTTGAGTATTTGTGCGACCGCAAAGTTTTCGGACTAACGCAAGAACTGACTGAAGAAAGTACATAACATTTTCATTTTCAATACCGATTACGATGAAACTAAGGAGAGTAATTGAGGTGGGACTCTCAAAATGGAAAAAATCCACATTATGAGACAATCTGTGGGGAAGGTGGTGGACTTTTGATAGGCTGTAATAATGTGCGTAATAATGCCTCCAGACCGAATTTCGGCCACGGCGGCCTGCCTCAACGGACGCTGGCCATCGGCGCAGGACAGGATTGTAGTGCCCAAGTGTATGCGCAAGCACAGGTGCAGTCTCTATTCCCTCACTCTCGTAATCCGATGGGACGGTAAACCGACACGACCGGAGAGAGATCAGGCGCAGGACCAACGGCTTTACGTGCTTTCCGAGGCACGGGGGTGATACACAGCACAGGCCAACTTTCTGACTTCGGGCAGCTAAAAAGTAGAAAAACTCAATAATTGATTTTTTAGCCCTATCTATATCAATCCTAAATACACAGTATTTACATTAAGATTGCAAAAATATTTACGTTAATAATGTCTATTTTCCTTTGCTATTCGTAAAGTGAATGTTTTATATGTGGTAATGCCACGCTACAAAGAATTATGGCTGCAGTGTAAAAATGTTGGTTCGACATAAACAGCATAAAGCTGTTTTGTTTTGTATGATAAAAGAAGAGAACCGGCGGCCTTTTTTTTTCAGAAGAGGGGGCAAACGAGCTAGCGGCACACCTGATGGTAAGTGACTACCGCCGCCTATCAACAACCACAACACGAGGGGAAATGCAGGTGCGTTGCCGGGCTTTCAGAAAGGAGTAACCTTTTTTGAAGGCCGCCTACGTCGTATCGGTCCGGAAAAATCGCCGTTGGTATACAATTCCACAGAGAAGTTGTACGAGGAAAAAAACTCCAAATAAAACAGTAGTGGACAGCCAAGCTTCCAGATGGTGAGGATGGTATGGTTATTGATCATAGATAGATGTGTGTAAACTATGTAAACGGTTGTAAGATATAGTATGTAACCCTTATTAATATATAAAAGTTTTTAATTCAGATACGTACTCGCAAGTAGATAAAGTTTATATTGTCACTACATTACAAGTAAAGAATAAAATATCATGGGAACAAAAAGTACTTTCCCATTTTGTCTCGGTAAAGCGGTTTAAAAAAAATTGATAAATAGCACACAGTCCACCTGATTCCCTTTCTCTCCTATTAAGAATCAAAATTCAGATGTGTTGTCACCCCTGAGGACTAAGATGGAATCCCTCGTTTCCAGTAAAATGGGTCTTCGGTTCCCTACTTACCATACGTAACACGTAGCATTAAGCTGCTATTTTACGCTGGTATTCTGTAAGATTCAAAACTGCCATAAAATATCCATATAACAACACAACCAGTAAAATAACTTACAATGATCGCTAAAAATCTTACAAAATATTTCATTTTGAGAAACAGAATAAAATAAAGAAAAACTGTTTTGTGAACTAAGAAAAACAATAAACTGTCGCTTATAAAGAGATCAAAGAGTTTTAGAATGAGGAAACTATGACCTCCGACAAATAACGCTGCTTATTTTAGAATAATTTAAAATATAGATTATTTAGATACTAGGCTTATAATTTTTGTTATAGATAAACAGAGTAGATTCCATTAGGCCCCAATTTCAGAAGTTATTGTGTGGTTTATTTTTCTTTTTAGTTTTTGAAATCAGCTTTTATTTTTTACAAAAAATTATTTTTCTCGAAAAAACATCAGTAACAACTTTAAAAGATTTATTTAATATTTAAAACAGGTTTAAACAAAAATACACCTACATTTATAAAGTTCTCATTTCATCAATCACTACATATTCAGTTATTTATACTATTGGCCGTCAATATCACGTTGAGAAAATCTTTCGCAAGGTTCCCCATATTTAGAGAAAATCCTTTCGCAAGGTACTGGAAATGGCTAGTACACAACAGTGCTGTTTGAATACTTTGTTGAAGTTAACGTGCAAAAAATATTGTTTATATGCCACTAATCATTGAGGCTTGCATTCCTTGGTAACATTTTTAATTTATATACCTGCTCTGAACCTCAGCAATAGCTAATGCTGTTAGTGACTCCGGGTATGAACGTCTTGGATGTCAATACCTGCCCAAATATCACTATCAATGGCTTGTTGATCTTCTGATATTCCGTTTTATGATGATGTAGTAGTCGGCGCTGTTGATTTTTGAGTTGTGTTGAAGTTGAGTTTATCGTTTTTTTTAAGCTATTGCATAGCTTCTTGGCCTTGAGCGCGGGAACCGAATTCAGAAATTCCGTAACGAAAAAAAACCTCACGCTCCCCACTTCGACGGGTACGAAGGTGTAGCATTGAAAGCCGTGCATCGTCTAACGTCGTTTCAGTTCGGCAGACTTCGGCATGGTGTTTGTGTGCGTGTACACTAGCTGCTAACTCAATGATAAAAATTCCTGAATAACCTACATGTATTGTAAGATATTAAAAATATTTTAAACAATATTAATTTTATAAATTAGGGATGACTCACAATGGTTCTTAATTTAGTCGAACAGTTTACGACTTCCGGTATCATTAGATTATTTTTGACTATCAAATTTTTTTGTATATGCAAAGCATCCAAAGTTTTTTTAAATGAATATCTTTAATGCAGTTTTGAACATTTGGAGCATTGTCAGAAACAACAATTTTTTTTTTGTAAGATGCCACTCGTCTTTGACCTCATTCAACTCCGTGCTCAAATTAACTGCTGTTTGCGGCCCAGACAAAATGCGACATTGTAGAAGAGCAGTTTCTAAATTAAAGTACTCTTGTACTGCTAAGTAGCCCTCGTGATGTCCAGTAGTTCAGTGTGAGACAAGCAGAATCGATATTATTGAGTTCTTCTCTGACTCTATTTGAACAGTTTTGATATT